GCCCGGATCCGAACTTCAGATCGGTTGCCGCGTTCGACCGGGAGCATTAAACACTTTGTTTTTGCTGGGGTCCCGTTGGTAGGACTTTTTTTTTTTGCGGCAACGCCAACGAAAGAACAGTCATGCAACCAGGACTCTGAAAAGATCCATGCAAACCGTAAGCGTTTTATTTCAGCGACGCGGTCGAAATAATAATAATCATCCGAGCAGCCTGCGACTTCGCATGCTTCAGATTGCAAGTCCGCCGGGATCCGAACTTCGTCGCACGCTGAAAACTGGCATGGCGTTATGAACCATCGACCCCATGCCTGAAAGATGGGAACTGTGTCCCGCAAAACGTAGGCATCAGGGCAACCCGGGATGGCATTGTAACTGAGAACGCGAAACCAACAACCGCAAAAAAAATGGAAACTTCGGATCCCGGCGAACTACAGCAATCATGCGATTGCTGTAGCTCGCCGGGATCCGAACTTCCCATCTCGCCAGGCAACCACACGCCACGCGCCGTTTTTCGTTTGGTTGTTGTTGGTTTCGAGCTTGCGGTGACAATGGTGACCCCCCTTGCCCCGATGACTGAGACGTTTCTCGGAGGCGGCCGGATTGTTCGTTACTGAACGAGGCCATGTTTTCGTGTCGAGGTTGTCGTCAAGAAACATGCGGCGCTCACGCCGAAGAAACGCCATCGTCATTGCAACGAGCAGCGCAGGCGTTCTCCATCGCGCGCACGCAATGTGTGCATTCTTCGTTCTGGAGCCCGCGGATGTTGCGCGCACAGTCCAGGCATTTGTCGTGCGGAATGCGATATCGCATCCCTCACGACCAGCGCCAGGAGCGCGCGCTCAACATCCATGGCCTCTATGGTGGATCATGTGCACGTTGTGTGCGCGGGATGGAGACAACAGCAACTCTCCCGAGATTGACGCCATAGTCTCTTCGGGGAGGGAGGCTCAAAGGTTGTGGCGAGAACACGAACACGTAACGACGACCCCCTCCTATTTATGAATACCTTACCTCTCACTGCACGCCACATGGACGGCGGACATCCTTCCCACCATGGCCACCGCGCGACACTTAGTACCAACAGCGGTCGCGCACAGCCCATGCGTCTCCTTTGTGATAACCAACCTCTAATCTCTTTGTTGAGAACAACAAACGAGCAAGGGAAGTGTTTCGAAGGGGTTTCATGTTACGCTGGGAACAGGCGATTTCGTGTTTGCCTCGACCGCGCGGGAGTGGTTTGCAATGTCCAGCTTGTGATCAACGACAGTTTTTCTTCAATGCCAAGCCAAACAAGAATCGTGGGGGCGGTCGCGTGGAACGAATGAGAGAGAAGCAGAACGGGACACGCAAACCGTGTGCCCCGATGTCCACGTCATCCGTTCCCGCCGTCCCAGCCACTTGCGACACGTGGCACGACATGATGATAATGATGACGACGGTGATGACCACGATGATGGTGACGATTACGGTGGTGATGTTGATCTGGGCGACGATGTCGGTGACGATGATGACAATGTTGATGACGATAATGATGTCGATGATGATGTTCATAATGATGATTATTGTGATGACGACGATGATGATGATGACGATGATGACGACGATGATGACTATGTTGATGATGGCGATGACAACGAAGAGGACGATGGTGGTGATTTTGATGACGACGATGATGTCGCTGATGATGATGATGTTGTTGATGGTGTTGATGATGTTGATGATGATGTCGATGATGATGACGATGTTGATGACGTTGACGAGGTTGATGATGATGTTGTTGATGATGATGATGATGATGTTGATAAAGATGATGATGATCACGATGACAATGATAGTGATTTTGATGATGATGATTAAGATGATGACGCTGATGGTGGTAGCGACGATGATGGTGATGATGGGGGCGATGATGATGATGATGATGGCAAGCAAGAATCACGGGGCCGCTCGCGAGGAAAGAACGAGCGGGAATTAGAAGGGGACACAGAAACCATGTGGCCCAATGTCACCGACATCCTTTCCCTCCGTCCCCGCAACTTGAAACAGGTGGCGCGACGCGGCCGCTCCCATGGGCCGGCAAACATGCCTGACACTTGGGCAGGCAGAACAACACTTTACCTTGAAGAGGGCACAGTGCACACGATGGCGCTGCTCTTTGACGACTCACAGTTCTTCGAGGAGGCGCAGTTCTTCAACGACGGCGAAGCGCACACGATGGCGCAACTGTTCGACAAGGGCTCAGTGCAAACGGCAGTGGCCACCTACTGACGTAGGACGCAGAGACGAGATGTCGAAGCGGAGACAACCGAACCACAGACGACAGTTGTCGACGAGAGGAAACCCCTGCGCCCACGCCCGCCGCCGCCTGGCGCAACAGCGGAGCAGAAAAGGCGATGGAGGATGTCGCTGACGGGACGTCGAGCGCGAATGCGCTCGTCAGGCTCGAGATGCGAAAGGGCTTCCCAAGACTCGAGGCAGCTGAGCGTCTGACTGTCGCCGCACCCCATGGAAAGACCCGCCTGTGTCCCCCCGCACGGCCACAGACCCCGCTCGCCAGCCAGGAGACGCGAATTGCCGCGAACCCCTCCA